GGGCTCTCGCCTTTTTGGGAGGGTGTTGCTGGGCGTCTCGGGTAATTTGTGGTGGTGTTGGGGGGCGGGAGCTGTGGTGTGGGCTGGGAGCCCGGTTGTATTGCAGTTTTGGTGCGGCAGCCGGGTTTGAGGGCTCGGGCCTATCACGTCTTTCCTTGTCCGACTAGTGGTGTTAGGCGGTGAGGGATTGGGTCCTATTGAGCTTGGCTAGTGGTGTTAGGCTCGTTCGATGGGGCCGGCGTGATGGCTGTGTGTTCTCTCGGTTAGAGATGGGCCGATTCAGGACTGTCTTGAGTTGAGGGCACCTGCTGTATAGGCGTTCGTGCAGTTTCGGTAGCGGTTCTCGGGCTTGAGATTTTCTTGCGTCGGTTGTTCGCCGTTGTTTGAGTGTCGTCCGGATCGTAGGGGAAGGGCTTCGTTTGTTTATTTAGTGTAGATGTTTTGTTGTATTTTGTTTTATGTGTGTTTGGGGTGTTTATGTTGTGTGCATTTTGTGTTTTTGGTTTAAGTTGTTTAGTCCCGGTTCGGCTCGAGTGTAGCCTTTATTCTCCTGTTGGGAGTTTACACCCGGGTATTACCCTGTTGGGGTTTTTTATTTTAGTGTTGGTAGTGTGCTAGTATTCTAGCATTGCTAGTTTGTATTCTGTTTAGGTTGCATTGGTTGTGTGTAGCCTCTCATTCCCCGGCTTCGGGGCCCGTCTGTGTAATTTGCCTGTTTGGGCTTTTTTTATGAGTATTTTTATGCCGTTAGAAAAAAAAAAAAAATTAGACAACTATAATAGTTTATCGCCAACATACAATACCCAACTAAAATTTTATTGTACGAGTTGTGTACTGATTTTAAATAAACATGTTTTATGTAATTTCACAATTTAAATTTCATATGAATTTATAATAAATTTAAAGGTAATTTGTATTATATATTGATTTCATATTTTTAATTTATCAATACTATTTAATGAGAATTTTTAATTTATAAATATTAACGAATATCTCTTACCCGTGCATCGCACGAGATTCGTACTAGTTTATATTTATAATACATAAAAATATCAAAAATAAATGATTTATTAATAGATTTTATACCTAAAGTATTAATAATATAATGTTTTCATAAATGTTTATCATAGAAATGATGCAACACCATATATTACACAGGTGCTAGTTAAAAAATTACACATGTATCTGTTAAATAATATATACATAAATTTAAAAAGTACTAAAAGAATACGTTTTACTTTTTTTTAATATAATATTATTATTTTTATTTAAAATGATACTAACACATATAATATTTAATCATAGTCTATTATAATGATTTTGAACTTACATCATATACAAAATGGTAACATGATCTAATTATAAAAGATTACGCGTTTTCCCCTTTCTTCTCAGTGTAAAACCCTCGTCCCTTTCGCCGTCGTCTTCCGTTTTGCAAGACGGCCTTCCTCAGCGGTCATCGAGCTTAGCCGGCGGTCGCAGGCCTCGGCGCTTGGATCCTGCCCCCTTTTATTCCGCTCCTCCTTCCAATTTCAATGGAGAAGAGCCTTGCCTTTCGTGGATGGGATCCCGTTATTTCGGGGTCGGTCTGTGAATTCGGTTTGGTTGC